AATAAGAACGTCAAGTTAGCTCTTGCTTTCTACCTTTCTATCCAAGGAGTAACTTTGACACTCGAACATCTATAAAAGTGGATTCGCTCCGAGAACAATCCTCAACGATGATAGCTAAAAAATACAATTTTCGAATACTGGCACCATATCGAGATGATTATCACCAAGTAGTGATCAAACCATGTAAAATGAAGTTATTAGTAAATCATCCACTGGCCTACTAGCAAGAAGTTAAACCAGGGAGTCAACAATCAAGATTTTATATAAATACTCATTCAAAATTCTCTCAGGTCAAAAACTTTCAAAGTCAAATTACTTTAAAAAGAACAAGCTCCTTCAACAATCAAACTCCAGTACTGCTATCAAACAATGACGGAAAAACCCTTCAAAAAAATAAAAAAACTTTCTACACATGCAATTACAAAAGCACAGCATCAAAACAAAAACAAAAACAATTTTTATAACAAAGCTTTAACCTTTACCTTCCAGCAACAGTAGCATCAAACGTGAATGTAACAAGATAGCTCCCTGGATTCTCCTCGTCCGGTTCAATCCTCAAACTCTCCTTCTTCAAATTAACATCATTCCTTATAATAACCGCCTTCTGGTGCTCCACAGAAGGCGCCGGTTGGGGCATCATTGGGCACCTCCCACCCACCCAATGAGCCGCCGGATGGTCCACCCGGTGGTAATGATCATACAGGGCTGGCAAAGGCACAGGCATCGCTGTTGGCTGGGATGGAAAGTAGCCAGGGTGCTGGTAGTATTGTGGAGGATTAGGGTTTGGGTATTGCGAAGGGTAAGGTGTTGCCGCGGCGAAAACGTAACGGTTGGCCGTGATTTCAGGCTGTGGGGGTGCTGGCGGTGCGGGTGGAGGGTGGCTCCGCCGTCTGCTGAGGCTCCACCAGCTGTTAACGTTGTTTCTGCTGCAGATGTTGCCCATGATGAAGTTTTGGGTTGGGTTGGACTGTTTCTGTCTTTTTTAGGTTCACAGTTCGCTAAAAACACAGGTGTGAGAATTATCCAGTAGCGTTGTTTAACTGTAACAGACAGAAGCAGATCTGGAACCTTCACCGGTTCTGTTTTTTGTTTTTTGTTTTAATGGCAATCATAGAAAGGAAGGAAACGAAGGGAAAGTTTTCGGTGAGGAAGGAAATGGAGGGAAATAACAAGGAGATTTTTTATTTCTGCTTTTGATTGCTGTTTATACAACAACAACAAGGAGAAGAGAGGGAGGAGGAGGAGGAATGATTTTGCGAAAAGAGAAGAACACGAGGGATGAAGAGAGGTGGGTGGAGGAGGAGGAGGAGGAATCTGGGGGCGGGTGGTGTAATGGGACTGCGTAAAGCTCCACCCAAAGTTGGCTGCTTTTTTTTTCTTTTCATTAATTTATTGATTAGTGGGAAAAAATTTCAACTTTTTTAGTTCGATTTGTTATTATCTGAAGAGAAAAACAAGTTGGTATTATTATTTATTATAGTTTGATTGCGGTTGTTAATATTTTTAAGTGTATTTTGAAGAGTATTTTATTTTAAAATATATTAAATTAATATTATTTTTAGTATTTTTTAATAATTTTAATATGTTAATATTAAAAAAAAATTCATATAATTTTTAACCAATTTGTTTTTAAAAAAGTACTTTACTACAATATCAATCAACTAATAAATACTATTAATTTAAGATACTGATATTCCTACTATATTTGTATTCTATTTTAGTAATTAGTAATTGTTTGATTATTGTTTTTAGATAAAAAATAAAAATAAAAGAGACATGTTTTCTTATATTTTGTTTTAAAAAGATAAAAATTACTTAAAAATTGTTTTAAAGATATTTATTTTATATATTTATTTTTATTTCTCAAACTAAACATATTTTTATCGTTGTTGTTTTCTTTTTTATTCTAAAACATCATAATAAAAAAAAATTTAGATATTCATTAAGGATTCATTACTAAAATGCTATTTATTATTTAATATAAAACAAAAAAAACAAAGTAACATATATATTAAATGACAAGATATATATGTATGTGTGTTATATTAATACAGGGGTATTGTTGATCGATTATCGATTGATTATTTAATTAATATGCTATTTGTTTTTTGTTTTGTTCTTCTAATAAAAATAATAATAATTAAAAACTGAATTTTGATTAAATATATATAGCAACCTCATAAACCAAAGTGAAGTGTGGGGTTTTAAACTTAACGTTAACAGATTAAAAATATAGGAAAAAGATATATGTAATACGTATGAAAATCTTAGCCCAACTCGATATATCATGTTGGATCTAAAAAAAATTGAATAGATGAAGTATATATTTTTTAAAAATATCAAAAGTTAGGTTAGATATAATTATATATCAAAACTCAACCCACTATATTTATGAACACACATAATTAAAATCAAGTAAAGATAGTTGATTGTTCATGTTTATAATGACAAAACTTACCATAACACCGTTAAATACGATGATGGAAAGGTTAAAATTCATGTTTTTTTTAATTATTTATTAAAGTTAACTTATAAACTGCAGATGAGCCTAGAATAACCTATATACATAGGAGTTTAATCAAAGATTATTATAATAATATGGTATCACTACTCTATAATTATAAGGATTGTTTTGTAACACGACTAAAAAATTGATATTTTCTCCTAAGTGTAGGAGTATCGAAGTAATAAATAACTTGGCAAGACCGGGGTCGAACCACAAGGAGGTTAAATATATAAATTATAGATGACAATAATAATAACAACAACAACAACAACAACAATAAGAACAATAACAATAACAATAGTAGTAGTAGTAGTAGTAGTAGTAGTAGTACTAATAATAATAATAAAGAAAAAGAAGGAGAAGAAGAAGAAGAAGATGAAAACTTTGAGATGAAATATTAATGTAATGATTAAACAATGATAATAATAAATGTCAAGGTTAGAGGTTCCACTAATAGTATGTCAAACAAGTATAGTATAAACTCTTATTATTCAATTGG